CTCTGTCAGGCCACTAAGTCTGGTCTTTTTTTGTGAGTTAGAATTTTGTTCTGCATTTTTCTCCAGCTCTGTCCGGGACCCTCTATTGTGATCCCTGTCACAGCAATCAGTGGTGGTAGCAGGGCACCATCTAGTTGTACTGGACTCAGTCTGGTGGAGGCCGTGGTAGTTGTGGTCCATTTAGAGAAGCATTTGTTGACCACCACCTAGAACCCAAGGAATTCCTTCTTGAAAGGCCTTTAGGAAGAACATGCTTTCGTGGCTGAGACATGATTTGTAAAGGCATACCACAATATTTGTATTTTTCACTCTCGGGGCAGTGGTGGATTGTGAAGCCACTGTGAGAAGGCTTCCACCATTGGTCTGACACAGCATGTTTGAAGGCCAATCCCACCCCTACTCTTCTGGTTCAACAGAAACCTCCCAGGAGGAGGCAAAGTAGGCGAGAAACCAGCTGACTCTATGAGCGGCAGATGCTTAGTCTCTTACTACAGTGCCAAGTGAATGGAAAACTTCTCTGACTTTGGGGTTTTCTGTCAGACAAGGGCCTAAAGGAGCTGCTAAAGGCAAGGGGTCACTTAGCACAATTCCCACCACCCTTTTTCAGGAATTGTCTAGATGGTGGTGGGGCTCCCCAGGGCCAGGAAATAGAGCAAAGGGTTTTTTTTTTTTCTGGAGACAAAGGGAGCCAGCAGGATGGAAGGGGTAGAAGCATTTTTGGAGAAACACGACCACGTGATTGACGAGGTCAGAATCAGCCCCGAGTCTGAAGAGACCAGGGTCAGAGCCTGAAGTTGGAAGTAGGGAAGTAAGAGATCAAGGCTGGGAATTGCATTTTGTTCTATCCTTCTCTCCAGAAATGGAAGCAGACAGCTGGCAGACAAGCCTATAGCATTCACAAGATAACCCTAAAGAGCTTTAGCAGCTTTTCATAGAATTTCCACAGGGCCTCAGAACAGCCAACAAGGAGGTAGTGATGGTTATGGTGGCAGTGATCATGAACACTGGGGGGATGATGGTATCCTCCACGCTGATGGTTATAGTGCCATTGATGATGGTAATGATGGCGTGAGTGAAGTGACGGTGATGGTTATGGTGGCGAGGGCGGCCGTGTAGGCAATAATGACGGTGATGGTAATAACTGTTTCTGCTATCAGTAGTGGTGGAGGTGGAAAGAGGGAGAAAACAAGACTCAGGGC